AGATTTTAGCTGCCTGGTAAGGTTAATAGTATATACTTGGTAGACTAAAAGAAAAAGCGTAGAGCTGTTCAAAAGCCAGTCATTGAGAAAATGCTTTCTGTAAAACCCGGCGCCTCTGGCTCTTTTTATATCCTAGGTTTCGTTTCTGCTTTCTTTTTTTATTATCGCCAGTGGGCTCCGAAGTGTGTGTTGTTTCTTCTTTTGTCCGTTTGTTTGCTAATCGGTTGGTTTGTTGTTTTTTCTTAACGAGACACAGCAAGGTTCTGGCAGCCAGGAGAGTGCAGTGGAACGCAGACTGGGACCCAGTGTAGTAGTGTGTGCGCGCGTGTGCGTGTGCGCCTGTGTGTATGTATGTGTGTGTGTCCGTCCATGGTAGTGCTAGTGCTCTTTGTGCAGTGCCTCCCTCCTCCCTCCCTCTCTGATGTAGTTTGTCATGTGACGCAGTGTGTGTTACGGTGCAGGATGCCTGTTGGCTGAAGCTGGCAGATGCCCTCTCTCTCTCTCTCATGTCCTCTCTGCTTCTACATTACAACGCTTCATCTTAGTCCATCACCAAGCATAGATTTCCACTTCCTCTGCTCAATTTCTCATTTACTTTCCCATTCAGCTGGTGATGCACACACCACCACCACCACCACCGTGGAGGTCAACAGCGATCCACCCTCCGTCACCCATCTGTGATTCTTTACCGCTCTCACCAGTCAACCACCTTGTTTTTCCTGCACAGCTCTGTAGACCAGAGAATGATTTAGCACAAAACAAGCGCATCCTCACCCCCGTTCATGCCTCCATGCCACTTCCTCTCTTTACCGTGTTGTACTTTCAGACTCCTCTGCATGATTCTGAGGAGAAGGGCAGCTGCCGGTTTAGCACACAGAAACACGGAGCAGCCATATTTAAATGACAAGCACAGACTGGTGACTCAAATGTATGTTGTGGTGGCTTCACTGCCGCCCTGTTTGTAGCAAGAGAAAGAGAATAGCCTTAAGGATTGGACCGACTACACACACAAAAAAGTAGAGGGATATGTACAATTGTTGTGGACTATTATTACCTTTCCCACTCAGTATTCCCATGTGTCGCTTGGTTGCTCTGTACATATCTGTGTAGTACTTCTGTTGATGTCGCTGTGTTAGGATAGTAACGGGTTCTTGCTGGGCGACCTGCGCAGACTTCCTCTCCCTCTTATCTCGTCACATTTCCTCGAAAAACTTCAAACATTCCATCAGGATCTCAAGTGAGCAGCATTTTAAAGATGATTTGATTGTCACGTAGGCAGGGAGCAGAAGAGCAGAGGGACCAGACCACAGACATTTCCCACTGGAGCCATCATAATAACCAAGACGTCTTGTCTGTGTCGGCGTCCCACTCGCCCCTCTGCCCCTCCTAGTCCCTCCAAACCGTCCATCACCGTGGCGCGGTGGGAGGAAAAGGACGTGGCGGGACAGGAGGTGGGCGGTCCGAGAGGCGTGTCCCCCTCCGCCCCCCCCCGGTCACGTCCTGGGTCAGGAGTGAGGGGAGAGAGGGCGTCTCGAGGTCAAACCCGGTAGCACTTTGCTTTTGCGTTCCATGTTTTTTTTAGCCTCTCCTGTTATTGGGCCGAGCGGACTGTGATCTTACTGGTTGATTTTCTTGTTCTCCTCCACCCATCAGTGTGACACAGTGTGTTGGGTGGACGGAGCCGTGGAGCTGAGCTCTGATTTTGTTCCATATTAAAGAATCATTTTTACTACTTCTGTCTTCAGCGATTCAATTTTTCTCTCTTGTCTTGTTTCTTTCAAGTTTACTGACTTTGGTGACGTAACTTTTTCTCAAGTTTGGCCATTAGGTTGACATTTTTGGATTTGGGTGAAATATCTGGACTACTTGATTTTGCTAGAGATATTTCAGGTCCATCTGTTTACGGCAAGATGTGAACAGAGGTTACTGCATACTTGTGGCCAAGTTGTGTTTTCTAATCAACTCTAATCAACACGTACACTGTAATTTCAATATTCAGGAACTGTAATGACATGTTCCACTCTGCAGATAGAGTTGGCAATTTGTAAAAGGATGTGTTTGTTTTTGAGCGCAATTACAAATGTATCGTGGAAAGCTTTTGCTCTGAGCGACACATTAGCTGGAATGAAGGTAAATGACCCGCAGGCCTACGTGCGGCACTCTGAGGGAATCTTTCATCACGTTTTCAAGGACGATGACACATCTTCCCATTAGTTAACTCTTGAATTCTTCAAACAGTTTGTTTGTCAGTCCAACAGCTGTTTCAGCTTCCATCCGTTTTAATACATACAACTATTCAAAGGTTTATCTTGCAACATCAACATGAAAGTGAAATATTTTTCCCTTAATTGAATCAGCTTCCTGTTGGCAGAATATCTTGTCTTGTACAGGAAATGTACGCTCTTGCTTGGCTCCTTAGCACTACACCAAAGCTGACTGAAACTAGAAATGCTAAAAGGTGACAATGCTATTCACTCCAAACCCTATGTGCCCGATTTGCCTCTTAAGTAGTGAAAAAAGAAGCAGTAAGGAGATAAGAACCAGAACAGCGAGGCGGTGAAGCAGAGACAGCACCTCTGAGACCTGACACACAAAGACGGGTCTTTGGGCCTTAGCTGTCTCTCTAAATATTAATTGATTCATTAATTGTGCGTTTCTATGGCAGACATAGAAACAGGTTATTGAACCGGCAGAGAGACAGTTGAGTCTCCTCCCAGTGCAGCAGAGTATCAGAGCCAGCCGAGCTCCTGCAGACAGGGGCCGAGGCTGCGTCCCTCCCTGTACTCCAACAGACGGCTGCAGGCGAGCCGAGCGCATCGCCTCCACGGGAGACCCGAGTTTGCATCACCTCCATCTATTTTTAGAACCACTGCACCCACCTTTTTTTTTCATCTTTGAGGCTCCCTTTGGCTTCTAAGTGTTTTCTTAAACATTTTTGCAAGAGGTGCAGTGTTGTTTCTGAGTTTCCATGTACATTCTATTGAGAATCTGGCCTATGTATGTTATATGTGAATTATGCAGATGCAGAACAAACAAAGAGTACTGTACCGAGGAGATGAACGGTCGGAGAGTCCAGGTCCAGCCCCAAGTTTTTCATTTCAGAGTTCAGCAGTTGCTTGATCACTTCCTCCTCTCTGGCTCTCTGGCTGAAGTTGTTCTAATAAGCAAAATCATCCAGCATAATTACTGGAATGAAAATAGGCGCCTTGTCTATTTCTGCTGTATGGATCCCCGGGGGTTTATAATTAGAATTGCCAATAATGTTCACATTGTGCTTTAGAGAAAAGAAGCAGGAAATGAGACTGTCAGTTTCAATGACGCAGGCGTTTCCCTGTCGTTATTTTTTGGAGAAGATAATGAACAGTTCCAGGCATAAAGCGACAGCACGTCAAGCAAGAAAGACTGTGGAGCGGCAACGCAAGCAACCGCCGGGTAACGATAGACTCCTCCGACTGCCAGCGCCGGACAGACGGAGGGAGCAAGAAGTGATGTGACAGAGGTGGAGACGTAGTGGGAGTCCAAGGACATGACATGGCAAGAGAAGCAATAGGAAGTGAGAATTGAAGGAAATGTGTGGAGAAAAGAAGGGTCAGATTTAGCGATCCAAGGGGGTGAGCAGGTCGTCATGGAAAAATCCCGGCTAGAATCGTCGCTGTAAATACCTCTAATAAGGAGTTGCTGAGGAAAATCCCATTGTTTGAAATGTTCATGCTGCGTGTTGGAAGACCGCCAGGGTTGTTTGACAGAAAGCGGAGGTTTGCGTATAAATGTCACACTCTTTCTTAATTAGACAAAATATTTATTTTTAATTAGTGAGAATATATCAGCATCTATAAAAATGCTTGTTTTTCCTGATCATACAATTGACAGGGAGGCAGGTATCTACAAGATGAAATTGACATGCTCATGGATGTAGATGTATAGATGGTGTTGCAGACACTTCTCACATGATAAACCTTTGTCCTGGGTGGACATTTTTTCATCAAGATATCATGCAAATCTCAAGCCATCCATCATTTTTTACATAACCTTACGTCTTTTCTGGGCTAGACTGAAGTCAGAGCCTCTGTGGCATCACACTGCCATCCAATGGACACGCGGAGAAACCGTCCAGCCCGATGAAGATGTTCGGTATGAGAGACGAACAGATAGAGTCTTGTACGTCAAACCAAAATGTTTTCTCAAAAGGCCTAATAATAGGAAAAGCATCCAACACCTACTATTAAATGAATAAAGGGAGCACTAAATGTATGGTATAAAAAACCTTGGACTAGATAAATGAATCACGAGGAAATAGTTGCACAGTTGTTACAGTAAAACATGTCTGCGTTGTGTGTGCTGTATATATGTATAATATGAATATAGGTATGAATAATCATAATAAATACAACACACAGAAAATGCGGTTTAGTAAAGTTTTATTTTTCAAGTACGTACAAGACTGTATCTGACTAAACCATGATCAAATTTTACTGTAACCCCTGCTATTTTTTTATCAGTACTCATCAATCAAATTTGATATAGAACTCGGAAATAACATCCTTCTCCTCAGTGCAGTAATAAAGATATACAGTTCAAATAATACAGTTTTAAAATCATTAGATAATCAATTAACAAATGTTAATTCCGAGTTACTTTATACGTTGAGTGGAACATTTCTGTGATCTAATCCTATAAAGTCATTAATAATTTGTCACGGTAACAATAATTCATGATGATTCATTAATTAGCTAAGCATTACAAGTGTGTCATTTGTATTGCTATTAAGAAATGTTCCCAATTAAATGATTAACATAATAATGCAGTATGTTGAAGCTACTTTGAATTTTCATAAATAGATATAAAACATATAATTGAGGACAAATAGGTGTGATTCCTAAAAGGCATTTCTGCAGTTATTTAAAATGATGATTAAGGTAGAATCACACGTTTGTGTTAACAACCAAACAAACAAAGATGAAAAATTAGCATTTGCATTGCATATACTTTGTTATTTCTAGGGCTCATGAGGCTGATGGTGAACCCATTAAGCAGACGACCTTTCACTCTGGAATCACTAATCATCGCTGGTGCTGAATCTCCTAGCAACAAGACTTGTTTACCTACAAACCACAAGACAGAAAAGTGAACAGCAAACACTGCAGGTAAGTCTGGGGAATAAGTCGATCTTCATTGAGTTATTTATGTGCGGTGTAAATAGATGAACTGTTCTCCTCGCTAACAAACAGGGTTAGTTAAACGGAACACTTATCCTTTTATTTCCTACAAACTCTTTTTCAGAGCTCTGTTGGATTCTGTCAAACCTAAAATCAAAAGTCGCAAGTTGTTTGCTGCTTTTGTTGTTGTTGTTGGTTACAGCACTGTGCACATGCCCAGAGGATTTTTACCATCCGTCACTGGTGTGTCAGTGAGAGTTTCCATTGCAGTGATCACGAGTTGGTGAGTAGGTGGGGGGGGAGTAGCAGGGACGCATAGTCCACATGAGTGAAAACTGTCCAATAGGAATTCAGATGAGGTTTCTGATGGCCGATAGTTGAATGTGTATGTCAGACCCAGGCAGGTTGTTTTACAGGCCCAGTTTGGAGCACAGTGAGATTCTCCTGTCATGCGAGGATGGCGAAAAGCAAACTAAGATGCTTATCAGTTAACTGTTATTTCAAAGGCCCCACGTACCTGTTTTTAACACGTCACACAGACAGTGAGGTGGAAGTTGCTTCAGGATTGTGAATTATCAAACACTTTGTCCAAATAAGTAAGATAAAAGAGTAAAAGGTCAGGCAATAGTGAGTGAAAACACCGGTGTCACTACACTGAGTGTGCGTGTGTGTAACAACATGTCTCGGTAGTATGTCCAACAAAATGAATGATGGCTGAATTCCATTCAGCTCATTGAAGTGGCTTGTTGGGTTCATGGTGGCTCAGTGTGCGTTTTATTCTTATTCTTATATGTCCATATTATTTAGTGTGCCAGAAGAAGATCTAATATGTCCCAATGCATAATGTATTTAAAGGCAGCATGCCAAAAACACAAGGACGTCCGACTGCATCCTGCCGCATTTTGCAGTGTGCAAGTCAGCATGCTTTTCTGGCTAATCCCCCCCCCCCCCCCCCCCTCCCTGCACTCTGGCCGTGTAAGGGTCAAAGGTCATGGTGCAATGTTATGAAGTATTTGCCTGTCTAATGCACATTCTGTGGATAAATCCCAGAGAGGGAAAACTTAATTAAGGCAAAATCTTAATCAACACAAGGTGATCGTCTTAACCAATAATCAGGCCAAACAAACTTAAGCGTTTCCAGACATTTGCATGACATTTGCATGCCTGCATACCAAGGATACAAGGCAGCGTGATTTTTGTAACTTGGGGGGAAAATGTTTTGATTTGAAAGAATTTGAAGAACGACTCCCTGAGCTGATTACGCCGACTGATCACCGAAGCGGCAGTTTCCTCAAACACAGGTTTGTTGTTTTTGTGTGCAGACTCCTGTTATCTGACAGTTGCACGTCTCAAACTAACCGACGCTGCCAACCTCACATCGGGTCTGATTATACGGGCTCTTCATTAACAAGTCCAGACACAGCGGCTTCCCTCACCTTCCAAAAACAAGGACTGTGGAGGAAAAGGTAAGACACAGAATTATAACAACCCCTTGGGCGATGTTGGGACCCGTTACAAGCGCATAAATAAAAAGTAGTACATTTCTCATTATCTGCCTTCATGAATATTTCTCCTCAGACAGAATACCAAAGATTGTTTGTGCTACATCGGCCCACAACAGGTAGAATAACAATAGACCTGTTTATGTGATTTTAACGGGTTAACCTTTCTGTTCTTTTATTCTAGTTGTATTGTATCTATTAAGACAATGAGTATTTCCCATGACTTGTTTGTGGAAGTGCACACTTTAGCACTTCCTCCAGTTCCCCGTGTGGTGAGACACAGTGTCCCTGAGGGAAGAGCCCTTCTGATGGACACTTTTGGGGAGAAGAACAGCTGCAGGGTAAGATTTTTAAACAGTCGTTCTTGTAAATTAAATCCGTAATATTGGTCTATGTTTATCTGTAATGACACTGTAGCTGCGCAATTTAGTTGTTATGTGTAAAAACATTTGGACTGATGTTCAGGTGGGACCTCTCCAGACAGCACACAGCACTCATTCACGCTTTTCAAAGGATATAGTTATATTGTATCCCACAATCTGTAAGAATTACCTGGATGTTATGTGCTTGCGTTTAAGGGCATGAAGGCGAAACCAAGCAGGTACACTAGCCGCTTTTCTCCAGAAACAGCATTCTTTCGAGGTCTGGCCTGGCCAGTGAGTATTGATCCCATTCCAGTCAGCTGCAGCAGATTTGAATGATCTTCCTTTAACTTTAAACATCCTTCCCTCTGCTCATTCAGCCCTCTCTTCTGCTTTCACTACGGCCTGAAAGCAATGCACCAACTGTCGCGTCCGTGGGAAAAAAGGTGATCTACTTCTGTCTGGTGTTTTATGTTGTTGTGATCAATATGACCTGTGTTTGCAGCTGTTATCTGTCGATTCAGCTCCTCGTTGTGTTCTCTAGGAGCCCACAGGGTTTGGTCGCATGACCTCGAGCAACCAGATTTTTCCCGACACACCGTTTGATTGTTCACACTTCAACACCACCTACAAAAGCTCGTGAGTGTGTCTGCTGCCTTCAGATCATGTTAGCAACAAATGTTAGCACAGAATATCATCCATCAGTTGTTGATAATGTCTTTGTTCTTTCTCCCCAGGTTTCGCCCTGATGACGATTCTAAAGATTCTCTATCGGGCCGTATTGGAGCAAGAAGCATCTGTGGAACGAGGGACAGCGGCTACAGTCGTCGAGGCATCGACCACGTGCAACAAACAACAAGCAAGCTGCACACAGGGGCTAAACAGGGGCTTATCTTCATGGATAAAAAAAATAAACTCTAGAGCTTCTTGTTAACACGACTCGTGTGATTTGTGCAGAAATAAAACCTCTGGCTGTGTTTGGACGTATTAAATATATTCATTATGAACAAATCCTGGAAACCTTCAGAATTTCCTGGTCTGTGTTGTTTCACGACAGTCCTGTCAAAAAAAGAGCTCACTTCCATCTCTTTGTTTAGTCCGTTGTGTGCGTGCGGAAAAGCTGCCATGTCAGGCCGCTGCGTGACGTGTGCGGTGTTAAAGCCGACGTCACGTTATGTGTCTTATAACGTGAAAACAATTACACAAATGCCCCCCAGTTTGTCTTTTTCAAGCTGAAGTGTCAAAGATTGTCCAGAGTGAGATACTGCTTTATTGCTTTTGATCAAAAGCACTGATCACAGTAGTTTAGTGTCGTTGGTTGTTTGTTAGGATATTTGACAGAAGCTCTGTGAATCTGTGACGAGCCTTTTTATCTTGTTTTATGTCATTTTAAAGACAAATGAATTAACCTGACCAAACAATGTTCGATTCATCTTCTCAAATGTGACAATATAAAGTGAATATATTTTGGGTTTGAGACTGTTGACTAAGCAAAACACTCAATTTGAAAATGTCAACTTGCAATTTTCTCAATTTCAGAATCAGAAATCAATCCCTATTAAAAAATAGTCCAAAAATGAATGAGGTCAATATGAAATCATCAACTACTGCCCCAGACTCACAAATAGCTCTACGTGTATTTAAAAGGTTTTACTCTTCTTCCCTCGACATGGTGGAGACACACTGCCACGTGACCACCAATATGAATATTTCAGCGCTCAGATAAATATTTCAATCCTCCAATGAGATGTGAGGAGGAGATCCGCGGAGGCAAAGAGGATTGGATTACATACGAGCCCCACATGAATAATGAGTGAAGAAATGAGAGGAGAACAAGGGCCGGACCTGCTTGGTGTTAGAGCCACGGTTAGAAAGGGTGCAGCCGCTGACAAAAAGGAGTATACAAAGGTCACGACTGACCCACGTCTGACCTGCTGAACTCCTGCTTGATGCTTTCGTGAGTCTTATTTCGTGTCTGGAGCCGCTCTGCAGACTCACCTTTTATGGTGAGGCACACCAGCTATTCACCCCTCTAATAATCCCGCTAGTCTCACTCCTACTTCTCGGGACTGCTTACACAACACTGACACGGGTTGGAGAGTTGTGTTTAGCACGTCTTAAATACGTTGTATCCAAATCCAGTACACACATTTACATGCGCACACGCTGTCTGGCTTTATAAAAATACGCGGCGCGCTCGCACACACAACTGACACTGACCATGATTTGTGGAAATACGACAGCGTAAACAGTAGCTGGTGCGTTCACTGGGTCCCCGTGACGACATATTATAAATACACCAACTTCACCAGCCGAGTTAACATTTAATAAGGAAAGATGGTGTACACAAAAATAACCCTTATGTTAAAACCCTCGCACACACACACACACACACACACACACACACACACACACAAACCACCTGAGTCCTGCTCTGATTTGGTCATTTGCAGTTGATTGAGATGTCACAGGTGCCAGTTGTGTGTCAGCTTCTTCTCCGTCATCCATCTCCGCCCGCCTGCAGATCGTCCGAGTCTGGATGTGTGAGGGGCGTCTCATGCCCCTTCATCTTGTCTCCCGGCGTCCTCCAGCCTCTCGTACTCATAGTCCAGCTGAGCCCTCTCGTACTGCAGGTCGTCCCCCTCGTACTCAAACCCTTCTCCCTCGCATATCAGCTCCTCGGTCTCATATTCAACCCCCTCCTCGTCATACTCCAGCTCAGCTCCGTCCATATCCTCCTCCCTCTCATCTGCTGGCCACTCTTCCTCTTTAGGGTCGGCGTCCTCTCCGGTCCCCCCAGATTGTTTTGAGTTGGAGCTGCTGTTTTTCAGGATGCCGTGAATCACCAGCTCCTCGCCCGCCAGAGCCGACTCTTCGGCCTCTTCCTCCGCGGCCTTGCGCAGTCTCTCATTCTTGGCCTCGCGCTGCTCCAGGAACTCTGCAGCGCCTTCCCCAACCACCAGCACCTCGTCGCCCACTCGAGGAGGGCAATCCACTGGGTTGTGGTCGTAGGAGAAGAGCCGGAGGGAGCGGAGACGCTTCAGGCTGGGAAACTCTGATATCTTGTTGCGGTCCAGATCTAAAATCTCCAAACCCTCCATGCGCAGCAACACTTTGGGGAAGGTGTCAAAGCGGTTCCCGTAGAGCCATAATCCCCTCAGAGCTTCCATACGACAGAGGTCAGAGGGCAGCGTCTTCAGCCGGTTGTCTCCAATCTGAAGGGACTTGAGGCAGGGAAGGTCGTAGAGCTCCCGTGGAAAACTCTGGATGTAGTTGCTCTCCACCCACAAACAGCGCAGACTTTGCAGGTTCCTCAGCTCGGGTGGGAGGGTCATGAGCCGGTTGCTGCCCAGGTAGAGGCGTGTGAGCTTAGTGAGCTGGCAGACGGCCGCCGGAACGTCCTCCATCTTGTTGAAGTCCAGGGCCAGGATACGCAGACCTTGCAGCCGGGAGACGCTGTCCGGCAGCGTGCGCAGCCGGTTCCCACAAACGTACAGCTTCTCCAGATGCAACAGCGCGCTGACTCGCGACGGCAAACGCTTAAATTTGCGGTAGCTCAAGTCCAGCACGGGATCCCCGCTGTCGAACATCTCCTCCACCCCCAGCGGGAGCTCTGCTTCGACCTCCACCACCTCGTCCTTCTTCTTCTTCTTCTTCTCTGCAATATCAGCCTCTTCACCATCCTTCGCCCCGTCCTCTTCCTCTTCTCCCTCTCCCTTCCTGGAGGAGTTGCCCATGCCGTGGCCCGCAGCCCCTGACCCCTGACCCCTATGTGAGTCAGGACGGAGTCATTTGATGAAGTAGCGTGTGTGACAAGTTAACCCCCCCCGCCCGAGAGCTGCTGCTGCCTCGTTGTTGATCCCACAAACGGCTGCAAACGGCATGGCGGTCCGGGGCCGGTTAACGCTCCTGCTGCCATGCAAAAAACAGTAGTGTCTCTTCGTCACTTTGGATGCCGCCTGATCGTGAAAACACAAGTTGAAGCAATCTGACAGTGTGGAGTTGGAGTAATGATATCACTGCTGGTGGCAGAGCCAACCAGAAATAGAGTTGAATTTCTGTGCTGAAATGGAATTCTTGCAGTCCTTACCCTCTCTTCTTTTAACTTCCTCCACGCTTTCTCGGAGAAAGATAATGTGCAGCTTTCAGGTCATCCGTCCACGTGATCCCGTCCGTCTATCAGAACAGGGAAGAAGTGCACCATTAGGACTAAAAGGTCAGTTAAATATCCCTCCTCATGCCGGGTGTCGGTGGATAAGCCCACGGCGGGTGCACATCCCCGGTGACCTGGCCGGCAGCAAAGAAAGGCAGTTGATGGAAGTGTGTCCACTGGTTAATGCGGCTGCTCCCCATCAGAGGGAAAGGTCTCCCGAAGTTTTCGTCCGCGCTGAAGGAAAGTGCACATTTTGGGAAACTGCAGCGACGACTGAGTGAGCGAGAGTCTTCTCCCGACGTCCGGCCGCCTCTCTCCATCAGTGAGGTGGTTTACATTGAAGCGCTGCCTCCCTCCTCCCTCCTCCCTCCTCCCTCCCTCTGTAACCGGAGCAGGGGGCTCCAACATCACATGAGTGTGTGTGTGTGTGTGTGTGTGTTTTTAAAGTAGTAGATTACAGTATTACATTTCAGGGTGGTAACAAAAAAAGTTTCCCCCTTTTTGTAGATTTCAATTCAAAGTAATTGTTTTGTCTCCGTCACAGTAACCATGTAATGTACTTTAATGTCTTTACCTGTTCTCTCTTTATTCTCCAGGAACATTTCTTTCTCCACAACATCTGAATATCTGAATATCTGAATATGTTTTAAGTAATTTACAAAACATAAATGAGATGCACTAATCAACATCGATGGGTTTAAAATTCTTTCTTTCTATCCTTTATTTATGTTTTGCTGATGATTGTACACACTTTTAACCCTGTAACATTTTGAATACAGACCTTTTACTTGGCTACTCTAAAATAAATAATGCTAGTCATCACAGGTCTGTTGGACCTCCAAAGATGGTACATTTAGTGCTGGCTTGTATCAAACACTACAGACATTCGCTTCAGCAAGTTTTTATAGAGCAATTAAAAAGCTGTGACGACAGCCTTGGTGTGACTTTCTGCTTTGACAAAGAACAGATGCAGAAATAACAAAAAATAACCTCTGATAGTGCTGCAAACCCCAACACTGTGTTCAACATGTGTATAGCATGAGAATAATTGAATGCACTAACAGTCAGATAGGAAGCATGATTGAGGAAAGAGATGTGTGTTACCTCACCCCTAGATAGGTGGGGGAGAGATGGAGAGATATCCACAATCTGTCACGGATGTGACTCGACTAAAATGTATTCATACACTGAGGCTCGAAATAGCTCCAAAATTTGATGAGCCCAGAGCCAGTTACAAATAAAAGGACAACAGCAGTTATAGCACAAGCTAACTCAATCCAGGGGCACAATATTTATACCCTCTCTGTGTAAAAGTACAAAACAAAGTACAATTTTGAAAATGTCCATGTTGAGCATCTCTACTTCAATTAAATATCAACTACTTCTGTAGTATTACTTAAGTAGTGTAACTTTCTTTACTAAAACTACTTAAAGTAATCAAAATACATCTTCCAACACCAACAACAATATGAATAATCTTATTATTGTTGCAGGTGGTGCATAGAGTGAAACAGCATTGTGTGTTATATTGTTTATTCTGCAGTGTTGCATAATTTAATAGGGACCTGAATGTAAAATCTTCATCTTAAAAAAGTAACTAAAACCTTAGACGTTTAATGCCAACTGCAGAATATGTCCGTTTGAAAAGATATGTAAACTACCAATACCTCAAACTGTACAATACATACTAATGTACTTGCATTCTTGACGACAGCAGTTATGTTTTCTGATTGATGGCATGTTTTGTTGGTCGTGATACTGGAGGAAAGCCTGGAAACGCTGCTGGGGTCAGATGTGCAGGGCTCCCGTCAGCCTGATGAGCTGTGGCAGAAGAGGCAGACAAACAGGGAGACAGGCCGCGCGCTGCTTGAGGATAATCCCGTCTGATATGCTGAGAACCAAAAGAGCTGATTCGCAAATTTCTGCACCGTATTCAAACGACCCTGAAATGACACGGTGGACTGTAAGCAGCAGACAGAAAGACAGCGACCCCCGGGCCGTGACTGGATGTTACAGCTGAGAAGAATGTGTTGAGGGCACATGAAGAACTGCTTTACACGGCCAACGTGAGAAACCCATGCAAAGACAACACAAAGAAAAAGAAAAAAGTGTTATTTTCTATCATCCAAAATCGAATAATTAATGCAGAAGCATCTATTGTGGGTTGAATCCCACTGTCGCGTGTTTTTCTGATGCAGCACAAGACGGTGATGTTACCTGCTGCTGTTGCAGCTTTGGGGTTAAATGAGGACAAGGAAGGTGTCGGATTAAAGGAACACATCTGCAGCATCTGCTGGTGGACGAGGGAACTGCAACACACCTATTTCATAACATGTCATTCATTTCATCATGTTACTGTAATACTGAGATAAAAACACATCACACCAAACAAACCTGTGACCTTATTACAGCTGAAGAGAAGAATAGTTTTCCAGTATTTTACTGTTGCCCGACATTGACACAAAGATTGCTTGATTTAGAATATTTTGTAGAGATCTGCTTTCACACCGACGAGGGATCTCTTTAAAATGATACCAAATTAAATAATTAGGTTTACTTGAACCCAAGCTTGTTACGGATGAGGACACAGACTTCCAGATCGATATATGTTGATATTTACATATATAAGTCGATAAATCAATAGATAAGGAGATGCATATTACATTACATTACATGTCATTTAGCTGACAATTAGCTTACAATAAGTGCATTCAACCATAAGGACGCAAACTCAGAAGAGCAAGAAACAAGAAAGTGCAATTTCCTCAAATAAGCCAATTTACAATTCGCTATAGATGAGTGACGTTATAAGTACAATCTAAGTGCTACAATGTGTTAGTCTTTTAGTCGAGGCAGAGGTGTGTCTAAATAGATGGATACATAGAAAGGTATAAAAAGCAATACACAAAAATCTAACAAAAAATACACCTTTATTCTGAGAACATCGACTGAGCTACAGTTGGATGTTGAACACACACACACGTAATGCACACACACACACACACACACACACACACACACACACACACACACACACACACACACACACACACACTGAGGGATGCTACAGGGGAGACGCATGACATGTCATGTCATGCGAGCTGCGTGTCGAGCCTATTGCACATCAGCAGCGGTCCCCGGTTTGCTGCGCGCCGATTGGTCCAGAAACCCTCGAATGATCGGCTTGGAATTTGCACCGTGAGTGGGTGAATGAGTGCATGAACATTTCAGGGAAGAAGAGGCAGAAGAAGGATGCGGGCTTTTTTTTTTAATTTGTTGGTGATGTTCACTATTTGAAATGGGTCGAAATGACAGCGTGAGGCAATAAAGTGCGCCGGTGTGTTGTAGTGAGAGAAGCCCGGGGAGATTTCCCACAATCTGGATTCTGTAAGTGTGAAATCTTTTTCCATCTTCGTGTCGCGGGGCCTTCGCAGCCCGCGAGTCTTCTTCACCTGGTCGATACCGAGGCGGCGGACGTTTAATCAACAGATTCTCCGTTGTCTGTTTTACGTCCCGTTTTCACAGATGAATCGCTCATTGCGTTGAAATGCGATTTATTGCGCTTCCCCGGGCGCTGCTGTGAAACGAATAGTCGCTTCAAAAAACGCCCTCACGGGCTAAAAATAGATCGCGTTTCATCAGACGACGGCCATGCGCGTTAATGCGCGCGAGGTGTCCGAGTCAGTGGACGCAGACAGAATGATGCAGAATGTGAGAATCCGCCGACGGCTCGCTGGATTTCACCATCAATCATTAGTGCAGGTTGTTGTGCTCTTTGTCTGACGTCACACGTGTCACCACAAGCTGCGTGGTCAAAGTTAAAGAGAGGAACAGGCGGAAACGCTCCTCATCTGGATGCCGGAGGAGGATAAACACCTCTCCTGAGACGCCTCATCTTTTCTCTTCTCTTCCAGAACACCCAGGTGTCAAAGTCTGCGGCTGACCCGGCCCTTTGGTGGAAGCAGGCCAGCGAGGATGGGAGGTGGAGGCCAGCTGACGGAGCCCGCGGAGGAGGTCAAGGGGCGGGCAGGTGGCGTGTACACTTGGCAGGAGGTGCAGAGCCACTGCAGCAGGAGCGACCAGTGGCTGGTGATCGATCGGAAGGTGTACAACATTACTCAGTGGGCCAAAAGGCACCCGGGAGGGATCCGGGTCATCAGCCACTACGCCGGAGAGGATGCCACGGTGACCTTTTACCGAGATTGTAAAACTCATTTGGCAAACTTTTAAAAAAAAATGTTTTTATTTACCCCCCGAATTTTTGTTTCTTCCAGGAGGCGTTCACTGCTTTTCATCCCGATCTAAAGTGGGTGCAAAAGTTTCTGAAGCCTCTGCTGATTGGAGAGCTGGCAGCGACAGAGCCCAGCCAGGACCGGAACAAAAGCGTGAGATCAGTCTCAGATTCTTCAAGCAAAAATAAACCTCTCATTTCTTGCGTCTCGCGGCAGCGTTGGGACCATGTCCAACGCCTGAGGACAACTCAAACTGCCTACATGCCTTGTTTTTCGTGTCTCTTTGCATCTCCTGCGCTAAAACTGTATAGCTGCACGTCCTCAAATGTTGCGAGAACCTCCCCTTTTAGTCTTGGACCCCCACTGACTGGCGTCTGCTCGTCTCCGCTCTCAGGCGACCATCATACAGGATTTCCACACTTTACGCGCCAAAGTGGAGAGCGAGGGTCTGTTCCGAGCTCGGCCCTCGTTCTTCTGCTTCCACCTGGGTCACATCCTGCTGCTGGAGGCCCTGGCCTGGCTGATCATCTGGGTCTGGGGAACCAGCTGGACGCTCACCCTTCTCAGCGCCTTCCTGCTGGCAACCTCTCAGGTGACCCCGAACATTCCTTCGCCGCACGCCGTTATTGTCAACAAACTTTAAGCTAACGCCGGTTTCTCTTCCTCTCCTGTAGTTGCAGGCCGGGTGGCTGCAGCACGACTTCGGCCATCTGTCCGTCTTCAAGAAGTCCAGCTGGAACCACGTGTTGCACAAGTTCACCATCGGCCATTTGAAGGTGGTTTGGTGTTCTCAGTCGCACCTCCTTTATTTCTAAACAAACCGTACACAAATATTAAGGGATTGTTTTCTCAGGGAGCATCTGCCAACTGGTGGAATCACAGGCATTACCAGCATCACGCCAAGCCCAACGTCTTCAGTAAGGACCCCGACGTCAACATGTTGCACCTCTTCGTGATTGGTAAAACTCAACCGGTGGAGGCAAGTGGTGGATGTTTTTTATTCTTAGACATGTTGGTATTCAGTCTTTCTTCATCCTTTCACTTTGAATTCCTCTCTGTTACAGTACGGCATAAAAAAGATCAAATACATGCCCTACCACCACCAACACCAGTACTTCTTCCTCGGTATGTTTCTGAAATTGATTTTAAAAAGAGTGAAACTATGAAAACTGAAAACACAGGAACAATAAGTTTACTTTTTCTCTCCTTCTAGTTGGACCGCCGCTTCTCATTCCAATTTACTTCCACATTCAAATAATGCGCTCCATGATTTCCCGCCACGACTGGGTGGTAAGATGCCCTCTTCCGGGTGCTACAGTGCAGATTATATACAAGTGGTTTCTACATATAGGGTTACGTCTGGTTGGAAGGAATCTTGAATACAAATATGACTCGTATAAACCCTGCTGTCTTTGTGAAGGACCTGGCTTGCTCTCTGTCCCACTACCTGCGCTACCTTTGCTGCTCTGTCCCCCTGTATGGCCTGCTTGGCTCAATGCTGCTCATCAGCTTCGTCAGGTAAACACCACCTTTCACAGTGATGTAGACAGATCAAGCTATACTGGAGGGTGAAACCCAAAAGCCATCAAAACCTCTATGAAAAAATATGAAGTTTTTTCTGCAACAGCGTGATCATATTGTGTGACGAAACGTTCAGTCACTGGTCTTCTGCTGTCTTACATCAGGATTTTGGAGAGCCACTGTTTTGTGTGGGTGACTCAAATGAATCATCTGCCCATGAACATCGACCACGAGAAGCACCAGGACTGGCTGTCCATGCAGGTACCCGATTTACAGCCGACGGAGCCAGCTTTGCATTCGGCTGATGTATGAACACGTCTTGTGTCATCCTCTTTACTTTAGTTACACGCCACCTGTAATGTCAAGCAGTCCCCCTTCAACGACTGGTTCAGTGGACACCTCAACTTTCAAATCGAACACCAGTAAGTCAGTGATGGAGGAGAACATCACTTCAAAGTTTGTAGGAAGAACAGACAAAAGCTCCTGAAATTATAGATAATTATTACAATAATTATTCAAATTCGAATAAATCTAAGCTCCTCCAGCATGCAGTGACCTTCATTGGGTGTTTTAAATGCTAAATGTTACTTCAAAAAAAAAAAGAACTATGGTGAAAGCACCCGTCCCTTATTTTTAAACGATTACTTTGACGCCCTTATTATTTCATAATGCATTTGTTGAGACATGTTTGAAGCTTCTTCTCTCCCTTCTGTCTCTGAAGTTTGTTTCCCACGATGCCGCGCCATAACTACCACCTGGTGGCCCCCCAGGTCCGCGCGCTGTGTGACAAACATGGCATCCCTTACCAGGTGAAGACAATGTGGCAAGGCTTCGCTGATGTTTTCAGGTAAGTCCAATCCAGACGTTTTCAGGTTCTAGCATTGCAGTGAGCAGTGAAACTGTCAGAATAATGAAGATGTAATGAGAAGAAAGTATTGTAATGACCGAATCTAAACTGTCGGGTGTGAACTGTGTATTTTTGTTCCCTTTTCTTCAGGTCACTGAAAAACTCAGGCGACCTCTGGCTTGACGCTTATCTCCATAAATGACAACTTTAATCCTCTGCTCTGCACCTACAAGGAGTGACCTTTCATCCTCTTCTGAATCATGCATTGATTGTAATTGTTTGGTTTTATAATCCAGTCGATAGTGTGGGAACAATCTTTTCTTAGTGCTGGTGTTACAGTATGTACTTTTTTCAGATTCTCTGCCAGGTTTTTAGTGCTCATGGGATGTGTTGTGTCTTCAACAACAGTAGTATGGCTTTAGAGATGCAATTGTAAAAACTGATTGTAAGGTATTTAAAGGGATCTTTTTTTAATAACTATAATGTGAAGCAGAACAATAAAATGAGACAATTACATGGACAGATCAAAACTCCTAAGTAATTGAGGACGAATTAGTTACTGCATTTCTGTTCTTACTCTTGTTCTTATCTTACAGTAATCAATAAAGCCAATGTATTGACTGTTTATCCACCTCTGCTATTATTGATCCAATGACAACACAAGAATTCTGAATAAAAAAAAGATTTGCCAAATTCTAACGTTTTTATCATATTTACAACTTTAAATCCTGAATGTTTTGCTTTAATCTTCATTTCGTGACTACACATCACATCATTACACATATGCATGCATCATGCTGCATACAAACACATTCATCATAGCGTCTCACTGTTATTGACGATAAACATGCATGATTAATTTTATGAAAAGCGACACTATTCATGTTAATACCTGGTGCTGATCTGCAGGTACCAACGGGATGAGACTACTTCTGACATACATAGTGTGTTTGATTATTTGTTATACTGTACTCGTAAACAGCAATACGAAAATAATTGGCTATATTGAGGCCTTGCCACAAAGATGTAATAATAATGAATAAGTGTTTGTTCCATCAAACAGGTTTAACTTTCATCTCACTGGTGCTTGATACGTTTTGACCCTGGAGCCCAGCGTGCATGTGTGCAGTGCGTGTCTATGCGGGTGTAGGCTTTTGCTGAGGGTGGGAAAGTGCTGCTGCACAATGAATAGGATCACAACAAGGTCCGAGAGCTTGAAGGCAAAGCTGCACTGATAGCAGCAACGTTCCTTCCACGTTGTTATTTAGCGTTGTATTAAAGTTTGTTTTTTGTTGTTGTTGATATAGGTTTAGTTTTTTATTTTCCCGCTCCACCACTGAGCCACAGTGGACACTCCACTGTTTGCTGCTGTTTTATAGATAGTGACCTTTAAGTGAATCACTTCCTTTAAGGGCTCACCCATACACAGCTAAAGGATTATTGTTCTCATCAGAGAATCTAATGTTAATACACTGCATGAAAAGCCCACCTGGTTGTAGGGGGCTTCTGGCTCCTCAATCTTCACCACGTCCAGGATGTTAAACGGGACGTAGCCGGCTTGACCGCTGCGGTTACGAAGTTTCCACCACTGTTTGTCATCCTCTATCACCTGTGACACACGTTTCACATCTCACTGCGTAAGCCGCCATTTTTAACTAAAGTCAAGTCTTGTGAAACACACACACACACTTGGTTTAGCACTCGACAGATTGCTCAGTTAAACAGTTTGTTTACAGCAGACACTACATGTCAGGTCCGTCTTAAATGTTTACCTTCCCAAAAGGTAAACAAACAAGAGTTTGCATCGTCCCGGCCAGATACTAAAATCTGCATTTGGTTTAGATTAAAAACCATATTTGCGTTTTTTACCTCGAGGATTTCATCCTGCAGCACCGACAGCTCGTTGGCATTCCGTGCTACAAAGTGGTAGCGAATTTTGGCATATTTGCGAGCGGAGGGCGCCCCATTGTAAGACCTGTTAGGAGAAATGGTGTCCGCTCGTCAAACAGTGAGGTATTTTATGGGTGAAAGCGACGGCAAAGTTGGTAAAGGACTTCCCTACGTACCCATTTGACCCATTTGAGTTAGAGGATTGTGTTCCATAATACTGAAAAAGCAGACAGATTGTTACATGGTCGGCGTTCAGGACCTGTTATGGTTGTGCACTCACAGACAGCAGCTAACAAATAAGTCCCTCACATCTTCAGCTGCATGTTGTCTGTAATCGGGGCTGCTGGGGGGCCCCAGTGGCCCCGCTGCTCCCTCTGTTTCCCACGCGGCTGTCCTGAGGAGCTCCAATGGCGGCTCCCAGCCGTTACGAAACTTAGGGTGATAAGGAGGTGCACATTGATCCCTGGGCCACTCCGCTCTGCCACAGGGAGCACAGGAGGGTCAGAATGGGACCGTTAAGGTGCACATCAACGGTCAGCCTCTGCGTTTTGCAGGGTACCACATTGTCGTCAGTGTGTGAGAATGAGAGGAAAATTGTGCCGCGATTTGTTAAACGTGCTGTTGGAATGCAGCTGTTTTTAGAACCTGGGTTTGGTCCATCCATCCCCCAGCAGCTCAAAGATGGTCATCTCTTTGGGGGTGAGGTGTCCCCGCAGGAAGTCCACCGTGTCCATGGAGAGATGCGGGGAGATCACCGAACGCAGAAGTTCAGGGCTCCCACAGCTCTGCAGCACCTGTGGACGCAGTTAGAAGTATATTTTAAGCCTTATGCAAAAAAGGATTTTATACACATATTTATTAGATTTATAAGATTAAAACAAGGTGTTTTCATTTTGCATTTTAGGCAAGATTTCCGTTTTGATATCCTGCCCTGGTCTTCTCTGAAGAAGTTCTCAATTTCTTCAGAGAAGATGCTTTGTTGTTTTCAGAAGGCGTGGGTGTAACAATACAAAGCAATATAAAGTATGCTGGATTAAATATTGATTAACTGGATCAGAAATCCTTTAAAGCTGCTGCCTGTTGAGACTAACTATTGAGTACAGCTAGAGGTCATGGGGCCACGCTTATAATATTACTGCTCTTGCTTTATCTCGACCATATCAAGCAAATCCAACGTGTCCAGAGGTTACTGCACATTATCAACAGGCCGGGCCTAATCACAGCTCTGCATTTATAACCGACCGTATCTAAGCTGGGGCCGAATACTGGAAGGTCAGAAACCCGCACTACGTGAGTGGAGCTGAACCAGCTGAGTCAGAGCTGAAAGCCACGTTGCTCCACTCAGGTGACAGTTTATCCTCGCAGCGACGGGTGGGGTAGCAGAAAAAATGCAAACAAAAAATGTCTGACGGCAACAATGCAAACTCTTAGTTGCTTTGATTGCTTGGTCAATATTGAGGGTATCAAGTAACATGGAGAACCTATTCACAGTGGATTCATATCATTGGCATTCACAAATACGTCCATAAATCAGCTGTAATAGCCTTCATCCATATCTGCATCAGGCGAACTCTGAACAGATTTATGGCTCTTACCAGCTCGAGGGGGCCGAAGAGGAAATGAACCAGCTCAGACGCACTTGGATTGTGTATGTGTTTCCTCAGTTTGGCCTGCAGGGGGCACCATGACAGATACACAGTGAGAAGGGGACACAGGGAGGACAGGTGGTGACTGCACAGAGGAGCTGTGGTCGCTCACCAAGAGGTTGAGGGCCAGCTTGAGTTTCTGCAGGCTATCGATGAACTCAGCTTCGGTGGGGGGCTTCGCCCGCAGGGTCAGCATGCCCTCTGTGAACAAGCAGAGCTACAATGACCACACGCAGACTGCAGAGTTACCAGGCCTCCACGCGGACACAGATTGACTTTCAGGGTTCACTTGCCCCGCTTGAAAGAAGTTTTTTTATTGGTGAAATAAAGACTAAAGAGCAGCTATGCATTAAAAAAAAAAAAACCTTGACCGAAGAGAAAAGCTTAAGAAAGAATGTGATGCATCAGATCACATGTCCCAAAATTGTCACTGTAGTAACCCATGTACTGCGATGGAGGATTCAGAACTCCCTTAAAATTGTATTTTCAGGGTATGGATGTTCTAAATCAAATGAAGTTTATGATTTTTCAGACCTAATGATTCAACTATGTATGAGTATATTTATATCATACATATTTCAAATGTTTTGAGTTAATAAACTGATTCTTTAGAATACATACATATTTTCAGCTCGTTTGTGTGTGTAGCACATTTTGTGGTACTTATTACCAAACAATTTGTGTAAAAGCAACACATAGAGTGTGTGTGTGTGCGTGCAGTCACATAGAAAACAGGTCACGTGTTTGTATGTAAAGAATGTCTTTTGGTGTGAAATAAAAACACAGCATCACACCACTGCCAGTGTTGGGTTACGTCGCAATTATTACTTTGCACCTTTACTATGTTCCAACTGGCTGCTATTACACTTTTAGTCCATAGATGAACAAACTAAAAACGTTTTTCTCTTCTCATCTGCTCCTAAAGCAGCCTTTATGCACAGTTCAACTGAATATTGCCTCCTTTAGCCAATATTGCTGACTGTCAGGCAAAAACATAATGACAGCACACTAGCAATCATTTTAACATGTTGACAGAAATGACAGAAATACATCGGTTTAACTTTCACAGGGAGTCGATCAGAAGTAATAATATGACATCAGCCATGAGCGTTGATTATTGTGTTACTTAAAACTGGCCACTGCCACCACACATGCATCACTGGATGACAGTCAAACACAAGGCAACGTGAGCAATATGAGCATATTGTCACTGCATCCGTGCCACCACAGCAGAAGAAAGGGAGACAGACCTGCTGGTCCTTTCTTCTTATTCTTCTTACTCTTGTTGCGCTGGTTGAGCTGAGTAAAGGCATCCAGTGCCTTGTGCAGCCGCGCCACAAAGATCTCAATGTCATCCAGGGAACAGTTGAGGATTTGCTGAGGGAGACAAATCCCGGGGGTTTAGCTTGAGGTTTGTAGTGTCATGAGCCGGTGAAAGGAGCTGTGTAATGTAATGACGTGCATCCGCGTGGATTAGAAAACACTCACCACGTCCATCTCAATGTTCTGAGTTAGCTTTTCATGTGCCTCTGCGTCACTTTGTCTGGAGGTTTGTGGATCTACGCGCAAACACAAAAAAAGCTTAATCTCAACGAGCTGTGCAATTGAAAAGGACTTTCTTTTGAGTGCACGTGCAGCATGTGAAGTACGAGCACCCTCACCCTGTGTGCTCATGGCCGCCACGCGTCCCTTCGCAGCAGGCGAGGGGCTCTTAGGGGCCGAGGGGGGAAGGATAGTTTCTCTGTGACGCTTCATTTTCTCCTGGTTCACCCTGGAGGAAGAGGAGAAGACCTTTAGACAAGTTAGCTAACTACCAAACGGAAGTCTCTGTCGCCGCCTTCAATGTGTATTTGACTCCAAGAAGGTGTGTGTGTGTGTGTGTGTGTGTTTCTGCTGCAGCACTCACTTCAGAGTCTGAAGCCTCATTTTCTTGCCATGCTTGTTGTCTCCGATGGCACTGTCTATATCTGCATGGACCATCTCAGCCTGGAGAAAGTGAGGCGAGGCGCGCAGTGTCAAACGTCACACACTCTACGGTTGTAGAGTTACCGATCTAGGTTCTAGATTCATTGCAAAGTATTCATTAAATTTGTATTTTCAGTGGTATAAGTTCCAAATTAAATAAAGGTTATTATATATGAGACATACCGATTTAACTATGTATAATGATATTTATATAATACATATCTTAAATCTTCTGACCATATACTGTATATATTATATGTTAAAAAAAATCATTGTCCGATTTTTTCTCCACATTGAATAAGAACATCTTCGTTCAATGAAGACAAAAGTAAGCAATATATGCAAACAACTTATGTGTAACCTGCGTAACAGGATATACATAAACCCACTGCCACCAACAGCACGGAAATCTGACCCGGCGCGCCGACAACAGCAGCTTGGATTTACGAATAGCATTAAACACAAAGCCAGCCAATCGTGCACGGACAATAAAGGACGCAAACCGAGCCAAGCCTGCATCATTTAAACCGACTCACCCCCACTTCGTCACAGTGGAAGAAGTGGATGTCGGGTCTGTGCTGCTCCTTGTCCTGACAAACCAGCAGGAGGACGGAGGGGTAACGTGTCTGATTCAGGACCGTCTGACTCATCTGGATTGTGGGAAGAGGGAAGTTCTCCAACTCTTCCTGCAGGGGCGAAACAGAGGAAAGGTTAGAGGGGAGACGGTGGAGGAAGAGCAGGAGCAAGATGCTATCTGAGTGAGCCAGAGTAAGATGGAACAATGCTACAAATAGTATTTTAAAATGGAACAGAGCGAGTGAATAACAATGTATAGCAAATATGACCAACACCCCTAGCAGCTTATAGTACAATAATGAGAATTGGGAAAAACAGCCCCCAAATCACAAAGACAAATAATTGCCTTTAAATGTGAAGTACTTTGCATAGTAACGTAATCTGATGATGTGTGGACGGATGCGAGGCCGTACCTGTGTGTCACAGTCCAGCAGCCTCACGGCCTTGTCTGTGACCTGCAGGAGCATCTCCTGGGTCCAGATTTTGTCTTTTGAATCCAAAAGCATCAGTTTCTTGACGGCATCGTCCACTGTGACAATGGACTCGGTCTTGTCCATAATGAACGTGGAGAGATGCTGAGTGGAAAACAGTGAGTTTGTAGATGACGGATTAGATCTTTGGTTGTGAGGGGACGAGCTGTACGGCTGTATGCAAAATATGACAGGTATGTTTATGGCCTCAACTGAAATAGAGACTATATGTAGAATAGAAGTTTGAAATAAAACACGTCCTGCCAGTCTGTGATAACGAGGAGGCATAAATCTCATCCGCACGACACAGGACATAGTTCAACACGATCCTTGACTCCCTGTCATCCACTGCAATCAGAGGCCTGATTGCTACATTGTGAAATAGTTTTACAATATATGAACTGACTGAAAGAGAAGTCAACCTTTAGAGTAAGTGCATTTTTTATGTTGCTTTTCACATAAAGTTTATTGACCTTTTTGTAAATCATTAGCTTCTATCTTTGCTTTTTTAACCCTTGGATGGTTTTTGTGTAAGTGGACCAGGAAACAAAGAGAACAAAGATCCTTAGCTGGATTACGTTTGGAGACAAAATGCTTATGGTGTTTAAAACACCTGGAATAGCTGGAACAACATTCACCCTTTAACATTTCCCATTTTTATATCCGCTTTAAAATTTGCCCTCTTTTCTATTTTATTGAGTAAAGAAAATCAAACAATTACCCTTTCATTTCACTTTAATTCTGTACTTACCTTAATAATATCAATAATACGGTAACGGGTGTTAAAGTGCTTCTTACAATGATCTGTCTACCTTCCAGCCTCTGGGAGACCTCTGGTTGAGTTTCACAAATGATTAAAGCTTTCCACCTTTACATATTTTGCTTCTCTCTGTTAAATCTTTCAAAATACAGGAACGAATACAGTTGTAATATACTTTTTTCCTAGGTAAACACAAATGGAGTAGATCTTACCTCAACATGATACTGCGATGTCTCTTGCATGATATAATTGGAGTTGGAGTATTTCTTCCTCTGTTCTGTGGATAAGAAAAAACAAACACACCAAAATGTAAAAACAGAGAATCCAAGTTACGCCTATTTTACAGTAAATATTTTCTGTAAACAGCCAGCGGTGACACTGACCTAAGCTCCACATGTTGCCTGTTTCAGCAGAAAGAACTCATGTGCGAGGTGAAAAGATCAACAGAGCAACAAGGAAGTGAGAAGAACATGAACAGTGAGGGGCGTTTCTTTCGTGTCGGTTATCTGCAGACTTCACTGTCACCTTTACTGTTCAATAGCCACTCAAATGTTGTATGAATAGTAAATTCACTAACGATATTTAAACGGTATTTAACTTTTCTCTGCGCAAAGTGCACCTGTGGTCAAACTTTACTTGTGAAATTACTGTTTCTCTTATATAGTTTAGTGACCTGAAGTGCCCACGGCAACAACAAAAAAACCTATCTGAGAAGTTAATTATTAATCTCATATCAAAGATCCGTGTAAGCTACTTTGACCCCTCTAACAATATAGTTTGTTGCCAGGCAGACATTAAACCTTCCTACATCCACGGAACCAATAACAAGCGTCAATGTGAATTTAGCGGAAATGTTTAGACTTTTAGTAGAGTGCTAATAAACCAATTTCACCACACAAATCCACACAATCACATTCACTCCAGGCATATTTTAAAACAAGCAATTCTCTGCTCTGACTAATAAATTGTCTCTGCTGTCTAAACTACTTGTACGCGTCGACTCCCCCCTGAATTTACACTGGCAGCTACGGAGCAGCTGTGTCATTAGTTTGGAGTTTTGCTTCTGGCCACCGGGTGAATGTAAGTGCAGTATTTACTGTCATTGGGTTTTGTTTTCGGTCTCCGAACTCATGATGCAAATCCTCTAGGGACCCCATCAACCAAGACTAAGCCACGAGTACATCAACGTCGAGGGACCAAGGCTTTGAGGGGTTGAGACCTTTAAAAAGCAGTCCAGTGCAGTTGTGTGCTTCTAGGTATCAACGTTTCTTGGTTTAAACTGATAAACTGCTTTCAGGCTTAAAGAATCTGTGGTGTCAAGACTGATGTCAGAACATTAAGCCTTAATATAATTTAAACTGCTGGGTAATATACACGTGGTCATGCTGTACAGATGTCATGGACGGGGAACAAATGGAGACCAAAAACCGTTTTTTGAGACTGTAAACATGTGTAAATCTGCTGTAAAGTCGAGCATCTTATCATGGGGGTCTGTGGAGATTGACCCGCTTTTGACGTCAACCTCAAGTGGACACATGATGAGCAGCACGTTTTGGCTCAAAAAGCTAGAATTTTAAAATAGTGACCTGTCAAAGATGTCCAAGTCATTTGTATATGCTTGTGTTAACTGTATAACTGTACCGTTGGCTAGAAGCATTCTCTTCAAACAAGCCCATATTAAATGCCAGTCTGCTCAGTGACTTATTTACCAGCTGAATAGTCCGCAGGTAACACTTACTGCTAAACGACAGCAGGTTCAAATCATCTCCACGGCCAGATTCATATCAGGTCCCCCACCCAGAGTCAATATTTTAACAGGTTTTCTCTCCATAAGGACGTTCCGCCACATTTCATTTGGAGTACTTTTTGGTGTTGTTGTTTGGTGACACAAAAGCTCTACTGTTTGTATAACCCTTCTCGAATGTGTGTCGAGCCTCTAAATACGACAATATCTGTTCATTGATGATTTAATGTAAGGCAAACATGCTTCATAGAGCTCCACCTTTTTCGATGTTCCCAGCAGCCTTTTTGTGTGCGACCGCTGCAACTGAGCCAATGACGCAAGCATGTTTCTGTTTGTTCCTCTCTGCTGATTCCTCCCTGCTTGGCTCCCCACAGGTGAAACACAAGCGTCAAGTGTCGTACTGAAAGTCGAGCTCCCCTCATGTCTTATTAATGGACCGCCATTCACGCCCATTCACAGCGTTGCAACAGCTTGCAATGAGAGCCAATTAGTAGGCAGATCGGCAGATCCTCAGCGCTCTCAATGACCAGAGATAAACATGGCTGCTTGGCCGATTATCCGACCAATACGTGGCCCAAATCTGTCATACGATCTGACACCCTAAGACCCGAGACCTGATATTTTCGTGTCAAACACAAAAAGGATATATCTTAGAAGAAATGCAGTAAAACGTAGCGAAACAATTCTGATGAAACTGACATTTTTTGCAAATGTAATCTTAAATGTGAAACTCAAGATTGCTGCCTGACGGTCTGAAGTCAAGGGGTGATGAATCTGATGAGTCACGCCTCTGACCTACCCCCCCAAAGCTGCTGATAACAGATCCGCTGGGAGGACAAGTGCATCATTTGCATCTGCTTTGTTCTGCCCTTTACCGTGAGAATGAATGCTGTGTATGTTCCTGTTTACTCTGCAGCAGACCTTTAACCCACCCAAATATCTCCAACTGTTACCGACTGTGCACAACATTGTGCACTCCCCCCCGCCTCCGTGGATCGGGGGGACGGGCATTGTCCCCCCTGCAGTGAGACTTGAGTGTGACCGTCTGCCTCATCGAGATGAGACGAGCCGATGAAAAACAGCCCAGCCTCGCCACACACACACGCGCCGCGGGGAATATTTCACGGGGATCGCCCGAGTGGGTGAGTCCTACGGACTCACAGAACAACAACATTTAACAGACAACGAGGTGCGGGATTCGGGAATGTCATGCAAGAGCTTTCATTTGAGGCCATTCTTCATTTGGAGCCGAGAACGGTTTGTCCAGGGACACCTCAGTGGTAGTTTCTGTCTACCCGCTGCACAATGTTCCTCTGTGTTGGCAGTGTGTGGAGGGAGGGGCTGGCAGCAGCCAGTGAGCTAATGTCTGAGGAAGTGCAAAGAGGACCAGAGGGTGAGTCCGCCTCTCGCTTTCCCCTTTTCAATGCATCTTTTATTCACCTGCAAAACACGGGCATCCCCACCCTGTTCCAGCCACACATTGAAAACAGGCACACCCTGCACTCCTTCGGCACATCTCGGTGACACACATGCAACGGCTTGTGTAATGCCATGACTGTATTACTGGGTTTCACTGAAGACGCGACGATTCCTATAACAACGGAGCCAAACAAGCATATTCTTCAATTGAGAGTACACACAAAATACTAAAAGACAACAACAAATCCCAGCATGCCGAGCAGGCCTGTCACACAGCTGGTGACTCAAATTCCCCCTCAGGAGCCCTTTCTCTCTGCCATGTCCCTGGCAGTGTGTGACAGAGGTGTCAACAGCCTGCGCATGACGGGGGCCCCTCAGAGGGACCTTGGCCTCCTCTTATCACCGCGTTTGTGTTCGGAGAGAGGACGTGCGTGCTGGGATTCAACTCCAATCTGCGGCGAGGGAGCTGGATTTCCTGACACAATCATTTGCGTAGCAATTTGAATGTTGTCGTGATTTGAGTCAGTCACAGTGCTGGTCCACAGAGCTTGTCTATGACGGTTTATATCATATCATAATAATAAGCTCTGTAAACCCTCCTCGGTGACTCATGCCATAGAAATAAGGGCATGAATAATTACAGGTGAAGGGCCTGTACAGGCAAAGTGTTGAGGACAGGCCAACTATGAAATGCTCCTTCTAACAAGGCAGCAACTCCCCCCTTCGCACTTCCATGCGGTCACTTACCGTAGAGGGCCTTGGCGCTGATCTTGCTGTCGGATCGGGCCACTGCACTGCAATGACATGAAGAGGAGACGGGGTTACGCCGCATGTTCTTCATCCTCCCCCCCTGCGCCTCTCCACAAGCCCTCTGAATCACCCACACCGTCCCTCCTCATAAACACAAGCGCCACGAAATAGGAGTGATATATATGCGGAGAGCGGACTAGCCGGCAGTGGATGAGATTATCCTGAGATCCTGAGCATATGGACCAGCCAGGGGAGAGACAGGGAGAGTGGAAAAGGGAGAGAGGGGGAGGGAAAGAGGAGGTGTATCGGGCATGGAGGGAGGCCGGAGCCAGGGAAACTCAAGCAAAGGCAAACAATTCTCAACAGAGCCGCTCTGTGCCTGAGGTCCCTGACCCACACCACCTCCCTGCACACTGGGTTAGTGATTCTCTCGCGCTTGTGTGACAGTAACTGAGCGTAACGCGCCGATGGGTGAATATGTGGGGGGGGCAGGAATGTGCGCGACACTCACTTGGCCTGCCTCGGCGTAGGTCCCAGGACACTCATGGTTCAAGGCATCCACCTGGAGAAAGAAAGAGGATGGTAAAAGCAGAAAGAAAGAGGGTGGAGGTGGTGGAGGGGGGGTGGCTGCAGGTGACGCGCAAACGTTTCTCACCAACACAAATGGATTATTTATTGCTTTTAAGACCTTGTAAATGCCTGTTGCATCATTTTGCTGAGCTCACGTTCCGTGGTGTTAAAGCTCACAGAGCTTTGGGTAGCACACAGTACAATGCGGCACGCAAAGTTGAGCCATAGTCTAGAAAACAGGCTGTTCTTCCCCACAGTGCGGAGCCAGGTGTTGGGCCCGTGCTGCTGGTAGTCGGGGGATTGGTCGGGGACAAAGGCAGACAGCAGGCTTATGCGCACTGGGTAATTAGATCCACTCTGTTGACGACTATATCTGCAGAGCTGCAATTCATTAGTTCATTTGAATGGGTTTTACATGCAAGCCACGCTGACTATTTAGTAAGTAAGATGAAATGCCCACACATCTTGCCTTTCCGGGCGTTGAGACTCTGTCCTGTCCAAGCATGTGCTGAAGAGGTTACGGCTAAACACCCGTGGACCCTAATGAGCAGTTACACAAGAGGTTGGCCTCCTCTTGGCTTACTTTGAGATACTTTATACCGCATAACCACTGATAAGGGCTCCTCCGTTAATGGCTGTAGTGGATTGTATTTAACCCTGGAGATAGTAATCACATTTTACCGTATGTGACTTTTAGAGTCCACGGAGCCTTGTATCCCTTTAGCCAATGCGTTTAATTTGTATTATTAATTGGGACGAGAGGGTCGGTTTTCTTTTACAAGCAGCCCCGTGAAGTGCTCTGAAAGAACAATCCAACATGTCATTTTAAAGACCTTAAGTGTAGGTTTGTGACGCAGGTTGTGCATCCCAGAATATGTAAAAATATTTTAATTTTCTAACCAGAAAATTTCTACTAGCATTATGTGACAGACAGACATTTCCTCATTACATACCTCCTCTCTTAAGTGATGAACTGTTTTGCTCAATGTCCCGTGGGTAAACTGCAAAAGGCTGATATTGTATAAGACGTGGTCACTTAAGCTTATTTTGCATCAGACAATAAACATAATCGCACTGATCAGATAATCTGATCATATCTGCTGAGACAAAGTGAAGCCAAATCACGACAACAGCCTTCACAGATACCAACCGAAGTCTCTGTGTTCCTGCACGCATCATTTTAGCTCCATGCAACCGGCTTACAGGATCCTCCACAACAAAATCTTGCTGAGAAATGCAAATGAGCGGAAAAAAAAACCCTAATCCTGTTTGCTGTAGTGAGCCTGCACAAAAGTTATACTTCCTCCTCCTGTCCTTATCTGGCCGTCATCATCCCTCCGAGCTTTTGTTCCTCGCTCTGGCCCGCCGCCCGGTTTCAGGGGACAGGCTGGGTGTCATGTGTTGTCAACCTCATGGAGCCCCGGCGCACACCTCTCGTCTGCTCAGCATCAGGTGCTTATTGCTATATACTCATAACCTTTTATTCAGAGGTAATTACAATAACCACACAAATGCAGAGTGAATAGGACTCTCATCTATCTCAGAAAGTTTGCTTTGTCTCATATTTAATTCAAACTTTTCTCAAATCAACTGGTAATATATTTGATTTTGCATTTTTTTACTGCAACGTGGCTTATTGTCCATGTGGTTTATTGTGAATCAGAGGGATGAGAGGAACAAGCAAAGTCAACCAAATATTATTTTTCCCATGTTAAATCTAATTTTGGTTAGAAAGTACTTCTGCCATGAAAATTTGGTTAAAAGTTTATAAAACACACATAAGTCCTTCAACGTAATCATCGTAAATCAATAACTACCTTATATGACATTGGCATGCACGTCTTACATAATGTCTTATCTTTGGTAATGTACTTTAACTTTTCAAGTTTATCAACTCAGACCAAACTAACGTTGAATATAACATCCACATTTCTAACTAGGCGTGACATTCTGCTCTCTGTTTATGCACACAGGATGTCACGAGCTGCTTCGCATGACAACAACCTGACGTTATGTACCAAGTGTAAACAAAAACAAAACCACTGATTTTAGCAATGCCAAAACACAATGTCTCTTTTAATGCAAAGCAATATAAATAGACATTTACCCCCCAGCAGAAGATTGACAGCGATAGTTTATATAGTTTATGTACTGTGTCTGAAAAAAGCCCCCAAGTTGGTAGTGATGACAGCTGCAAGTCTCTGAATCAGCACAACGGCACTAGATGTCAGATTTACAGACACCATTGCTTTTTGTTCACATTCGTATCACATAATGTGAACATCAATGTCCACGGACGTGTATCTATTTATTCACGAGCATGTTCAACCCAAATGAAAGCACAGAGATGAATGAAACGGCTCATGATAGCAACGCCAGCAGAAAGAAGAAGAATTACTCCACTTAATACCGCATCAAACTAAAATGTTCTACGGCGGCTCCACCGGCGGGAGATGCGACCGAGGAAGAAGAAATGAAAGAACGAAGTGAATGCACACGTAAAGAGAAGAGAAGAAGAGAGCGCTCTATATTTCACGTTGAACTCACAGCCGTGTTTTGCTGACGGGATGCTCGAGGTGACGAAACGGGAGAGCGAGGGGCCGCGCGACGCTTCACCCCCCCTCCACACCGGAAACGGTGGATGTTCTTCCCGACCCGCTTGTTTTTTCAGTGAACCCGTGAAAGTCCACCCAACATTAGTCCGTCGTCTTTCAACGGAGCGCAGGTGTTTGTGGTCGCTAGGTAGGCGCTCCTGCAGGTAACTCATTCGAAAAGGGAGGAGCCTCCACCTCCACTTTAAGTGTGGGGGGGGGGGGGGCTATACTGTAATATATATATATTTATATAATATTATGTATAGTAGTACATGTGGTCTGAAGTGCAGAGGATATATGTGTGCTACAATAAAAATCTAAAAAACTATAAGGATGAAAACTAGTTGCTGCTTAATCTATCAGAGAAAGTGTGTGTGTGTGTGTGTGTGTGTGTGTGTGTGTGTGTGTGTGTGTGTGTGTGTGTGTGCGTGCGTGTGTGCGCATGTGAGAGAGAGGAATAAAGAAAAGGAGACTGGGGTTGCCTGTCCACCCACTATAAACTGGTTCCTTACCCCCGTTCTCTAGTTAACCTAAGTTATTGGCTAATTAAAATAAACAAAAAATGGAGTAATGGAACAATAACAACAAAACTTTCCTTTTTTTGTCCTAAATCAATGTTGCCAGACAGACTAACTTTGAATGAAAACAATACCACCATCTACTGGAGAAAGGATGAACATACATATGAAACTTGGTAAATGTGGTACGTTTACCATCCATCCATCTTCACACCGCTTATCCTTCACACAGGGTCGTCTATCCCAGCTAACTTCAGGCAATAGATGGGGTTCACCCTGGATTGATTGCCAGCCAATCACAGGGCTACACAAAGACATACAACCATTCACACACCTACGGGCAATTTAGAGTCCCCAATTAACCTGATTCCCAGTGCTTGTCTTTGGACTGTGGGAGGAAGCCGGAGAACCCACATGGAGAACGTGCAGACTCCACACAGAAAGGCCACCGGGCGGAGTCAAACTCAGGAGCCACTCCCGTTTACCATATATTTACTAAATATAATTAATAATAATCAATTGTGAAACAAATATATATTTTTTTGTTATTTTTTATTAACAATTAACTTGAAAAATGTAGCACATGGATACATACAATACAAGGAAATGCAAAAAAAAACCTGAGAAATCCTCACAGCACATATTAACCGGAACCGTAAACTGTTTCACATTACAAACAATGAAACTGTCTTGAAGACAAAGATCTGATTTTTTCTTTCAGATGGGCTGTGAGTTAAACTGTAACATTTTTATCAACAATTAACTTGAAAAATGTAATACAAGGATACATACAATACAAGGAAATGCAAAAAACCCAACTGTCAATAAAAGTATGTTTTTGTGCTCTCATCTCAAATATCAAATACTCTGCCATTCATTGTAGCTGGTGAGGTAAAATGAGGTTTCTCCTGAGAAAGAAACTGATCTGGCCAGTCGGCATAAAAAGAAGAAAGTCAGGACTCCATCTAAGGAATAGAAAAAGAGTAAGACACCGCTGAGGACCACGTCCAGAGGTATCACGTAGGTCTGATAGAACAGGAAGTAGAGTGTCGGCAAGATAGTTATCCCAGTCACAATGAGGTGACTAAGAGTAGGACCCGTAGTCTCCATCAGGTGGACCCTCACTCCTGCAGACAGGGGTCAAAGTCGGTGAAAGAGGGATGTCAGTTACCATTTAGTCTGTTGTTTTCTGTATATGCGCACGTAAGCAAACACCCTTTTTATAACCATTCTTCTTTCTTTCTGCTTAGTATGTATTTTTTTACTGGCAGACGAATATGTTCCCATGTTTCCCCATGGGATGGTGGAAATATAAATAATAATACACCTCAATTTCTTGAGGTGTATTATGTATATTTATATATGTGTTTGGATATACGTACTTTGTAATTACTGGGTGCCTCAAAGGTAGCAATAATATATAACAATGAAAGAACTATTGATGTATTTTATGCAGAAACTGGCATGGTCCAGGGCTCCACGCTGATGGGGCTGCACGTTCATATTTGAGGCACGCTTAGGAATCATCATTCCCAATATATGACTCTCACCAGAGTACAGATGAAGGACCTGCAGAATAACCAGGAGGATCAGCACTCCGACATCCCAGACCAGAGCACCAGTGCGATAAGCCAACAGCAACCCTGAGAGCAACAGACTCATTCGGCGTTCTCTACAGAAACAGAAAAGCCCCCAAAAAACGACTCAAAAAAGATGTGTACTCACTCTTTCTGGAGATCAAAAAAAGAGTTAAGATGAAATAGAAGACAGAGTAAACTGCTGTCTCAATCAGCACTAGCTTGGAAAAAACAGAAAACAGCTGGGTGTGGAGTTAAGGAGTAGTCGGTTATCATCAGTTCGTCAGTGACAGAGAGAGAATGTCCTTCTTTTGACGTTACACAGAGAAGGATACTGCCATGTAGATAGAGAGCGATGGGGGGGGGACTACTTTAAAAAGTTATTTTCCTTCGCAGTTCATAATTAATAAAACCAGAGCAGATAAATAAATATACGAATCACTTATTTAGCGGTTTGATGTCATGCTAAGTGGTTAGCTTCAATGCGCGCCTACAGCAACCATAGCAACGCGTCTGCCTACCAGCTCCGAGCCCCGCCATTTTGTTTTTGCTTTCGCGGGTTGACTTCCCTTTAAACAAAAGAGGTGAAACTACGGTGGCCCTGAAGTGCAAAACACAACAGCAAATAGGAAAACACAACGTATATTAAATATATTGTTCATATATATTGTTTATATAAAAGTGCTATATATATATTTTTTATTTTTGAAGAGCTCTTCAATGGAGCAATTGATGCCAACATGGAAACAGATAGTAGTACTAGCAGTAGAAGTGGGTTTAGTATCAATAGCAGTAGAAACAGCAGGAATACTGATACTATTGGCTATAGTAGTATTTGTAATAACATAAGTAGTAGTTGTAGTATTAATAGCAGTAGAAATACTAGAAGTATGGTAGTAGAAGTATCAGTTGTAGTACTAGAAGTACGAGTAATATTCATAGTGGGAGACAGAATGTTTGTTATTCACACTTAAAAGTTTTTAATTAATAGGCCTCATCACAAACATTACAGTAAAAATTCCCTCCATGGGGCTTTTATTTTGAAATTATTGGATTGGGTGGGGTGGGGGGGTGTAGATAGAGGGAGGGAGGGTGAGAGGGTGAGGAAGGGAGGGGTGGTGAGGAAGAGATAGAGGGAGAGAGAGAGGAGGAGAAATAGACAGACTGACTTAGTGAGTGATTAACAGTGAGTAGAGGTCAGGGTGGAGGGGGGAGGGGGGGCGAGTGTCTTTATCATATTGGTCTGTTGACAGAAAGCATAGCTGCGTCATGTGACTCCACTAATCAAGTCATAGGAGCAGCTGTGAGCCACAGACAGAGATCCTGCAGCGTGTGAGCGAGTAACCACGACAACGACGCACCTGTGCTCATTAACGAGCTGCTGCAAAAGGCAGACACAGGACAGCGAGTTACACAGAATCCACACCTCAAACAAATGGCATTCAGCGCAAAACTATAACAGCTATCTAAAAAATATGGCGTTTTTACGAGACCCAAGACTCTACCGAACGCATGGATGTGTGTTTTATGTCTGTCCGGTAATAAATACGGCTCCTATGGCCGTTGACAAAACGTGTACCTTCTGGATTTTTTGACAAATATGTCGGCAGATTTGTATTGGAGCCTATGGGTCTTTTAGCAGAGGTTGTGTCACTCTAACACTCCTTAAGCCAAAACTAAAGAACTCTGGGATTCCATGAACGCATTAATCCAATCAGCACAACCATGCCCTCATTAATCTGAAGAAATGAAGCCTCTAACTCAAATCAGCTGCGGGCCAGATGCAGCCCACTTCCACCGAACGCGGGCCAGACTAGCGTCCGAACGGCATGGTCGACAATAACACAACTTAACACTCACTTTCAAAAGCAGTCATTGAACCCCACCCTGGGGGATCGGTCCGAATGAGACTACAACACTAGTCCTCCTTTAACTCAGCGGGGGAGACCTAAGGTCATGTGACCGTGGAATTCCTTTATAGCCAAACGTGAAGTTACGTGAATCGAAGCTGCGTAGTAATGGACGGAGACGCTCGTCGGTGACGTCAGATGCTTCATGTGTTGTTAGTGTGAGTCGTAAAGGAAAACTTTATTAAACGAGCGATGCTAACGGTTAGTCACATGATCACCTGCGCGAAAGAGGGCAGGAAACTGAATTTCACCTCTGCTCTCTGCACTCGGCGACACACACGACCGCCCCCATGTCAGTCACATGCATGCACGTTCACTGGACAAG